CCAAAAAAGTCTCTCTCTCAAATTCTTTGATGATCCTCTACTTATGTTATACAAATTCTGAGAAAAACTCATGATATTCTAGCAATAATCTATGTTATATGAAAAATGAAATACAATCCTCTAAACCTAGGAATACCAAGTTGATATAATATAACATTTACAAAAGTATATTGAGACCTAGAAGAGATTATATCTATGCTATTTGAAAAAATTTAAGCCTCCAAGAACTTTACTATTAATATGAGCAGATATAGATGAATAATATATAGATGAACTATTAGAATTGTAGTACATCTCTAGCTCCAAAAAAAAATCCAAAAAGAATTTTTCTCAAGAACGATTTATAATTGCATATTATATTTCACAAATATCTCTATGAATACTGAATATAAAAAGATGAAATATATACTATTGTATTTGCAAGAACCTCTTCAACAACTTTCATTATAGTATATCTTAGTACAAAAATGCTTCTCTAACCTGCAAAATAGCTTCAAATGATTCTATTAGCATTTTCAAAATAATTTTCTTAAAGAAGCCTCCAAGAAGAGAAGAGAAATATAGTTCTGATGATTTATAAAAATTATCATATCTCACTCCTCACTAGACCAATTTTAATATTTCAATATATGTTAGAATTGTAAGAACTTGGTTTACAACTTTACTTAAGACACTAAGTTAAGGTTATATAGTATGAATATGCCTCTAAAATAGCTTTTGTAAAAATAATCTGCAAAGTATCTTTTTCTTACTATGCCACATAGGCGAAAATTTTTAAAAATTTTTTCTACCTTTAACATAGTAGATGATCTCTACAAAACTCATTACTTTTAGATTACTATATATCTATAATAATTAAAGAAAGTAAGTTTTATAGACTAAGATATAATCAAACTCTTAGATATCTTATAGAGTTGAAATAACTTTACCTTAGACATATGACTTAGACATGTTTATATTCTTGTAGATTTATAATATTAGATGATACTTATACTCAACACTATTGTAGATATAGACCCAGAATATTATGAATATTACTTTGAACATTCTATTTTTAATTTATTTATATCAAGACAGTTTGCTACTTCTGAGCAAAAGTAAGTTAATAGTGAGGAATATCTCTACCTTTTGCAAATAGAAAATACATAAAAAGACTTACAGTTTGTCATTTTTGAGCAAAAGATAACTAGTGGTTTTTATGTTGCTACTTCTCAAAAATATAAGGAAATTTAATTTAATTTATCAAGCTAGAAAAATTCTATTAAGTACTCTTGAATATTAATGTTTGAAAAGTTTAACTATGTATATATTAATGAAAAACTTTAAATTTATTTCTACATGTATTAGAAACAGATTTTAAATTTCTCAGAAGTAATATGTCTAGATAATAAGGATTCCTAGATGAAATATTCCTGGATGTAGCTCACAGCTTACTGCAATCTCACAGGATGAATAGTGCTCTAATAAACAGATATCTCACAAGCTAAATATGTAGGCATAAAGATCTAATATTATTTTAGAAATAGAAAATTACAGATTAATATTTTTAATATTTGGAATATACTACAATATCTACAACAATAATTTGCATCTTTATAATTTTGATCTTTCTACTATAACTTCTTTAAAAAAAAACAATACTCTTCTTTCTTCTTACTCTTAAATATAATGATAAACTATTCTCTGCTCAAAATATTTACTCTCTCTTTTAATAACTTTACCCTTGCTTTTTTTTATCTCTCTTATTCAAATCCCTCTTCATCAATAATTTTTATCAAACATTATTTTATTTATTTTATTTTATTTTTTTATTTATTATTATATAATTTAATATTTATAATACTTAGATACAGAAATTATTTCAACAACAAAATTTTATTTATTTTATTTATTTAATTTTATTTAGATTATCTCTCTTCAAAAAACCCAAACCCTACCACCCTTTCCCTACTACCACTACTTTTACTATTATTATTATTATTATTATTATTTCTCTTTCTTCTTCTAATCTCCTCTTCTAAATTCAACATCTGAGCTTGCAACCTATTCTTTTCTCGTAACAACTTCTTATACTCTACATCTCTCATCCAACTCCTTGAAACATTCTTAACAATTATCTTCTGTTGCTCTTCTATTCTTTCTTCTAAAGCATGAACTCAATGATATAAACTATTTACTTCTTGAACTAACCTAAATAATTTTTAAACCAAACCTTAAAAATATATTATTATCACTAAAAATAATATATTATCGATAAATATCTTCTATTTTCTGTTTAGACAATATTCAAAGCTTTGAAAAAAGGATTTATAGGACTATCTCTTAGGTTGTGCCTAGCAGAAATTCTTCTTTGATTATAGTTAAAGCTTCAAGTCATTTTTATTATTATTATTATAATTTGTCTTTAAATTTTTAAAATTTATTTTTTTTTAAAGTTTAATTTTTATCAATCTTATTTTTAAACCTTATATATTTTTAAATTTTAATTTCATATAACTAAATTTTAAATTATTTTATTAGACAATTGTAGCAAATCCTTGCTATCTAAAAAGGGTCTGTAAAAAATTTTAGACATTAAGCAGTTGTGGAATAATAGTTTAAATGTATGTACTTAGTCAATCTCTAGGTCAAGAGTTTAATTCTAGCTTAAGGTGAGACAATTCTAACTAACAAGTTTTAGTAGTGTTCTTTAAGTTACAACATCTACTATCTTTTTATTCTTCTATTTTATTTGATATTACTATTCATTCGAGCAATTATAATCTTATTTTAATATTATTATTATACTTTAAATATTTTCTTTACTTAATTAGAAATACAGTCAATCTCCTCTATAATCACACAGTTAGTTCTATAAGAACTTTTTTCAAAAAAGTGCTTATAAAGAGGTTGTACTTATATAGAAGTATTTTTTTATATATTTAATAGTAAATTGTTTTTATATATAGGATGTGATAGTACTATGATGTGATTATAGAGGAGGTGATTATATAGAAGTATAACTGTATATTATATATTTAATAGTATAGTATTAAATAATATAGTGTTATAAATTCTTTTGATCAAAACAAGAATAGCATATGCTAATATGTATTTTGTTTTGGAAAAAAAATTACTGCTATAGCAGATTGTATTTAAACACCAAATAGGTAGCCAAGTAAGTTTAAATTTGCAAAAAAAAAAAAAACAGTCTTAAAATTATAATACTTTTAATTTTCTGTATTTGTCTTATTACTAAATTAGTATTTCTTTTAATAAAATGAAAGACAAAATCACCTAAATTAAAAAAAAATTATAGTGTTATAAATATAACTTTTTATTTATAAATATCTATAAATATTAAGAGCAATATCTTTATAATCATATGATTAAAGCTCTTACTCAAGTGATTTGAGTAGTAATTAGACTCAAATAAGTTATTTTTCTAATCTACTTGAGTTTTACAAAAATAATTTATATGTTTGTTTGTAATATAATTCAAGTAATATTTTTATTAATAGGTCTAATTACTAAATCTAATCAATTTTTAATTATAAATATTTACAAATACCTTTATAGATATCTATTTAAAATCTAAATATTTGAAATATTAATCTATAATATATATAAATAACAAAAGTTTATAAATATTAACTAAATATAATAGATATTTAATAGATCTAGTTTCTATTAAAAATTAATTATAAAAATTTTTGATCAACTTTAAATGTTGTATTATAAAAAAGGTTTTATATAATAATTTTGAAAAAACTTAATAAGTATTATATACAAATTCCTTTTTTAGTATTAAATTTTGACAAGATTTTATCATTGACGGTTCTAAATAGAGGTGTTATTTTGCTTAAAATGCTCAAGACTGTTTAAAGAGATTTGCTCATTATTGCTATGATTACTTTTTGATATATACTTAATTAAACTTATTTGTAATATTTTTAAGAACATATTTTATTAAGATTTAAAGAAGATATTTCTATTTTTAATGCTCAGAAACCCTGTTTATGAAACTGGTTTGCTTAAAACTACTCGGAAACAATTGTTCATTTCGAGTATGATTTTTAACTATTCTCTACTAATAAACTTGTTATTTACATCTTTTCGAATGAAGTTACTTATTACGATAAATTATTCTGTCCGTTTTTTAGGAAGTTATTTTGAAAGCTAGTTTAGATTACACAAAGCAGAATAACATCCCTAGTTCTAAACAATTGATTTTTGGAGTATTAACAAATAATTTTATAAAATAAAAATTATATAATAATTAGAACGAGTATGTTTTGATTTTAACTTAGAGAATGGAGTATGACTTAATAAAATTTAAGTAAATGTACAAAAATAGATCAAAAATCATTTTAGCATCTAAATTTTATGCTAGACAGTTTAATACTTTTATATTTTACTTTCAGCAATTACTTAAATGATCTTAAATGATTAGGTTAAAATTTATAAATTCTTATCAACTAATTTTTAATTTTGTAATCAAAGCGCCCATACCCTATAGCAATTTAGTCATAAGGAGTTTTGAATTTTAAAGTTTACTGCATAATTAAACATGTGATTGTAACAATGATGCCAAAAAAAATTTGCAACCAATTTTCAAATCGAAAATCGATTCCCAAATTAGTAGTCGATTCTTAGAATCGTTTTCGGCTTCTATCCCTAAGCAAGCCAAAATTTAATATTAAAATGAATAGTATGTAAAAAGGAGAAGCAAAACATAATTTTTTTTATATGTTAACATAACTGAGCATTTCACAGTTGTAAAAAAAAAAAAAACAACAACAACAGACTGCAAAATCTAGTAGTGCCATCACAAGCATTATCAAAATATTTATGTTTAAAAAAAAAAAGCAATATCAAAATATTTATGTCTAAAAAAAAAAAACATTATCACATATCAAAATATTTTATGCATGAAAACATTTAAAATTAAATAGATAGATCAAATTTTAATATGACTATTTTTGATGAAGTATCCAATGATGAAAATAAAGTCCCATAATTTAATTTATTGTATTCAAATTCATTTGTTCATTTCGATCTACCCTATTCATCTCTTCACGAGTTATGGCCAAAGATATCGGGTCGACCGATGCAGTTCTAAGCATTTCATTGCGTTCACGCTCTCTAACCACATCCACTGGAACCCTTCTTATTACATCAAAAATTATGACGTTTTTGAAATTCTACTGAAGTGAACACTATAGTAAATATTTTATTATTAATGACTAAAGTATTTTCAATTTTTTTTAGCAATATATCTATGTAATTCTAAAACGGTATGATTTTGATTACACTGCTCTTCGAGATCGTCTAATAATTTTTGATAATCACTTTGAGATATTCCCATATTGTCGGCCAAATAAGTAAGGGATCCATAAAATGTTTTCGCACTCTCAAGTGACTAAAAATTAGTATTATTAAAAACATAGTATTTATACTAGTAATTTACACGGCATGTAATTGTAAATAAAGAAACTTACATATTCTCCATGCAACCCTCCCCATCCGCCTATTGGGCAAGTTGTTTTCTTGTGTTCAATATTAGTTAATTCATCGTTTGATTCAAGGTATTTAGGTATTTCTAAAAATATTGTGGGATCAAATTTTTTTTCTTTCATCTTCGTGTGAACTATGATATATTATAATTAGTTCTAAAAAATACAAAGGACATAAATTAATGAGATTTAATTATTTAAACTTACAAGCATCTTGAAGAATTGCTACAGATTTTCCTATGTTTTTCCACTTCATATTAGGTTCATGAATCTCAATCCACCCATTATGCTTCACAACACGTACTAATTCTTTAATTATATTAAAATATTGTTGTCTTGTAAATGAAGACCACATCGCTGCCATCTGAACGAAATCAAATGTCTTGTCAGGAAATGGTATTCCTTCTAGTAAATTATGTTTTATAAACCCAGCATTCGAAGGACGTTCATTTACAGGTAGAAAACCGTTCGATAAAATATCTATACCGACAAATGTTGAATTGGGAAAATCATATGCTAAATCAAGAACCCAAAAACCTGTTCCACACCTATTTTGAAAGAAGATGTTACCAACCATGATAGATTTTAGAATGTTACAATAAACACATACGTACCCAATATCGAGGACATTAGCTCCACCATTTGTTAGAATTTCTTCAACTGGAGAAGAAAAATTGCCTTTCCATACATGACGTCTTAATATATGAGTAAGCTCATTTCGCCTAAGTTCTATTTTATCAATTGGCAAAAGGTAATTTGCTTCATTAGAATTTATGAATTCCCTTCCGCCGATATATTCAAAAGGGTCTAATACTTCATTTATGCTTAATTTTGTAAAATTTTTATACTGATTTAAAATACATCCTCTGCTATAATTTGATTCTTTTTTTTCATTGGAATTTAACATTTTATTATTAAGCAACCAATTTTTATCTTTTAAATAAATCATTTTTAAATACAGAAATAAGGTTTTAAGCGCGTGCTGATGCATTGCGATTGTGATTATGATATGTAACAAGATTGCTATATCTATAATTGGATCTATTACTTGAATAGTTTAAATTTCTTTTTGTGTAATATACAGTATTACATTAATTACTTCTAATATTTTGAAAACAATTCACCTACGTACCATAGTTGTTGAAAGTATATCCCGATTACACAACATATGGGATCTTTGCTACGAAAATGACCTTTCGAGACTATTTAGATTTTATGAATAAAATTAAAATTTACCAGCGATCTAATAATACAATTTGAATAAGCTTTTTTTTTTTTTTATTATTATTTCATAAAGCCTAGCGAACTCGTAAATAAAAAAAAATTTTATTCAAATTAGATATAAAATCTAAAAAGTCTACTTCACCGACACCCATTTCATAGACATAACAATCAATTCCTAAACAAGCTCATTTCGTAGACAACTCATTTCACTGACAGCTCATTTCACCGACATTATTATCATTAGAATTGGGGTTATTGTTTAGGATTAGGGTTAGAGGAATTTATAAGAAATAAACTTGTCGGTGAAATGAGTTGTCTACGAAATGAGCTTGTATAGAAATTGATTGTCTGTGAAAAGTACATGTCGGTGAAATGTAATGTCTATGAAATGGGTGTTAGTGATACGTATCCTAAATACATATAATGTGCAAATTATACTTTTTGAGGACTATTATTGCACGACTTTTCTATTAACTGTTATATTAATACTGTTTATATTAATTATTCCAGTAGCTCGTACGTGTGTAACGCTATCTTTATCTGTTAGTATTGTGACAAATTGATAATATTTAGTTTATTGGATGTTTCGCTTCCAATAACTATATAATATTGGAGGTTTCAATTTTCTTTATCTCCTTGATTTGTAAATAGATAACCCTTTTCCTTACTTAGTATTGAATAGGCAATCTTGAGTGGAACTTGTACTTGATAAAATTTTGGAGGCTAGCTCTGGGATAGGGCAATTTGCCTTTTACATTGATCGTTAATACTTGTTTTCTAAATTCGTTAACGCGCATACGTGTAGTCTGAATACGTTCTAAGGGTAAAAATATTAGCATTTTCGAAGGTTCGGGTAACACAAACGCAGTAAACCAGGGATTAATCATTTTCACCATGTAGTTCGTGCTAACTTGAACAATATCGTCTAAACGTGTAATATAGGATATCTCCTTTACTTTTCGTTTTTCTATACCCAACATATTAAATCATTTTGCTTCGAATATTCTTATCGCACTTTATTATAAACTCGTCGAAAACATTACCTAAGATTAATCGATCCTCTTACAAAGATAGTTACAATATCATGTCACTCAGAGGTCATGTTATAATTAGGTACTAATAAAAAGTCTGAAGAAGAAACACACGTATAATAAGACCTAGCGTTACCTATATAAAAATTTTCACTATTTGTTCAATTGTTCTCAATGGGCTTCGCCTCAAGCTAAACCCAATATAGCATTTATTAAATGCTACTTTCACATGCGGAATCTTGCGGCTTAGCTTTGGGTCGGGTCATGGTTACGTTTCTCACGTGCCTTCGCTAGGTCACGTTTTTCCCTCACATTCAAGTGCCTACAGCTAGGTCACATTTTTCCCTCTCACAACGTACTGTACGCGGCACATCACTAGAGAAAGTGTCTATCACAAAAATAATTAACTGTATATATACTTTTTCTTTATTGATTAAAGTATGTGTGTGAGCAAATTTAATAAAGTAAAGAGAGGAATATTCAGTTGTGTTATTATTAGGGATTGGAACCGCCTAGACTTTCTTTAGTCGGTTAACCGCTTAATCGTATTAACCGTTTAACTCAGCTGGCATTAAGATAACCTTAACCATGATCAACAGCGCTGATTTAGATTCGCATGTCTATTTTTAAATTCTCGGCTTCTTTACTGGCCTATAAAACTAATTGATTCGACTCTAAATTCTTGTATGGTATGTAATAACTAAATATTGGAACCGTTTAATAGCATAAAAATAATTTCATAAATTCGAGCCGAATTATCATCCCTTTCAACAACCAACCTAAATTATCAAATATTTTACGTGAAATTCAAGTTATAAGATTAAGAATAATAACTTACATCTGTTTTCATAAATTCTGGGACACCATGAAAAATTGCACTTTCCCGAAATCTCCTTGATCTTGCCCTAAGATTCAATTAGCTTTTCGGAAACTATGTTACTGTTCTCAGAACTTCAATCAAGAGACAGCGACGTAGTTTTCGGTGATTCTTAGGACGAGATCGATGAGATTTCGGGAAAGAGAGTTTTATCAGAATTTATGAAAACAACTGTA